AGTTGGAAATCGGTCCTAGGTTTATCATGGGAGAAGTCATGACACTTACTTTGTTTCGCGGGTGGTCAATCCAGCTTTTGTTATCATGGTAATCTGTGTCAATTTGGTGGATATAGCTGTGCATAACTAACAATTGTGATTGGCACAAGGACGATACAAGCAACTGATAAATGCACTCAAAGGGTGAAAGGAGGTAAGCGCTGAGGAAATCGAAGAGCTGTTTAGCCCATATCAGTATACCAACCAGTATGTTGGATGAATGAGCAGTTAGATGTAACATTCCGGGCACCATTGACCGAGTTACACGAGGTAAGATTACATTGCTGAATTTGCCGACAAATACAACAAATGGATAAAACAAACCTAGTTATTTTGCTCGTCTGTGAGATAAAATAAATGTCATGGTTTAATGCACCGATCGACGTAAAAGCACCGTCAAATAAGCCGTAGGGGTGGGCGAGATTGTTTTGGAATTGGGTTATAAAAATCGTCAAAGTGGTAAAAAAAATCCCAAAACTTTTGGTTGGAACGACTGACTGTCAAGTAATTCTAATAATGACATGTTTGCCAGGCTTTTAAATTGCATGTTTGTCCGTAAAACAGGAAAATCAGATTATATTTTGTCCCCATTTCCATCCCGTAGTGGTATTTTCTACGGTCTAGAACTGAAGGCTTTCAGCTAAGTACGACCCAGAGTGTTCTAAATACGTAGCATATTTATCGCTCAGTGAGTCCATAAAATAGGACGTTTTTTAAGATCCTATAAATGTCTTGTATTCACATCTTGGTATTGCCCAGTGATTGACAGCATTGGGTTTCTATTTAAGGACTGATTGTCGCTTGGGTTTATCTTTACACTGTATATGAGTAGCAATAACAACAGTATTGGCAATGATCTGTCAATGATCTGAACCGTTTGGACTACCATTCCAAATTTTGGGTCGATATCGGATGTTTTTGATCATCGGTTATTTCTGGCCTTGAAAAGAGCGAGTTCCTCATGCCTAAAACAAAACCAGGTTGCTCAGCGTCGGGTTTAAATGCAACCAATGTGATTCTAGCCGGAACGACAAACAATTTTCTCCTTACGAAGACGAGAACCACTGGTGCTCGCTCCATAGCCACTGAGACATTGTCCATTTCGAGTGACGCCAGATTCAGCAACAAAATATTTTTCTGAGTGTTCTTCAATCATTGATATAATCTGTCAACATCTGCAGATCATCGAGTATTAAATCAATGAAATAACGTTCAACAAGCGTTCAGATGGATACCGAAAGAGAACTAACAAGTTGTCAGCTTTGAACAGATTGACGTGAACGAATAACAGGCCAGAGAGTATCTATTGCACCTCAGAAGTCACTAGAGATTCACTCTTCTAAAGCAAGTCACCCCATCCTACCCTTCAGGTCAACATCACGGAAGCTGTTAGTGGGGAAGCACAATTGATATATCACCAAAGATGTATCGTGGATAACGCGTGGGTGTTGACCATTCCATTTTTGGAGGTGCGTAAAATAACTGGGAATCACTTTTTTATTACGGTTTTAAAGCCGGATGTTCGCTAGCGAAATTTCGGGTGTGTAGGAATAGAGGTAAAATTTTACACTTTTAGCGAGGTTAATCAGCTAGCCCTTTCAGTCTAAGCATACACACCGAATACTTGACTAGAATCTGCCTGATAATTTATACTGTAGTTATTAAGAGCCATGATGATATTCTTTAATTTCTCGTACAAAAAGCAATGAACTATGTTATCTAGTCTCTACCGGTCATCCACCTATCATCATCAGTGATGAGCACGAAGCGTTAATGCCAATATCTGACATCGTTACACTGTAACAACTGTGATGGCTGTCTCTGACCATATTCGAGGAGAGGATTGGTCGATTTTTATTTGCTTGGTATATTATATCCGCGTAAGCTGAAAACTAAATTTCTCACTTCTTTCATAATCAATTGGGCATAGATTGAGAACAGTTCAATTCGCTGGAATCATGAGGGTATTCAGAAATTTCAAATGGGACTTCATCATACAAGTGACCTTATTCTATGCTAAGAAACCAAGGAGCACCGATTAAAGCTGTGTGCAGATTTGTTGTGCTTTCTGACATACAGGAACTAACAGAAATGTGTCCCTTCACATTTCAGCACCAGCTGAATTCAGCTGTAGAATTGAACCACATTTGAGATTTCAAGATTGTTTCTTTCGTAGCATCATCAGTAATGATGTAATATCCTCTGAAGCGGACACCACATATCAGCCCCCACCTGAGTAATTTACACTGAATATGATTATACGTTTATTGCTTGAAAAAAGTGCGACTTCACGTTGCTAATTAGCCACTCAGGCGAGCGCTGAAGTGCTCCACTAATAATTGGAATACCACGATATTACATCCACAGCTGGTGTTTTCCTGCAGGGATGAGACTGCAGGAAAGTTCTTCACGCATTTGCAGCAGTGGTTTACTTTGGATGCAAAACAAGTCCTCGATAGAGGAGCCTATATTCGAAAAACACAACTAATAGTTGAAGCAGCAGCGGATAATAAAATGCATCAGGTTTAATGATTTTGCGAACACAAACGGACGCAGATAAATAGCAATTCTTTATGACTTTTGGCGCCATATTATTTCTGGGATTTCAGATGAAAATATGGGTTACCTGGGCACCATGGGAAGCAGCACCTGCAGTAGTCTGGTTTGTACTATCATTCTACCATTTTAACCGGATCCTTCATTTTGCCAAAAGATCATGCCATTTAGCAAGCCGAACATGCATTCGTAATTCTATCACCATCGAGGTCCATTGGAAAAAGTAAGACAGCCAAAAGTCTACACAAGTCCACAAATTGTGTATTCTTGGGAGACTTCTAGTTCCAAAAAATCCCCAATGGCAACAGCGGGATGCTGGTCTTTATTCATTTACTTCAAATTAGAACGTGTTATTTACGGACAATCACTCACAGTCTGACCAGTTCCAAACACAATTATGCAAATTAGACGTGGGGAAGCATTTGGGCTGGAATGGTTTTCTGCCATTTCCACCCACAAGCAGGACAGTGTGGATGCAAATTACAGAGGACAGTCTAGGCTGATTGGCTTCACATCCACGTGTGAGTTATTGAAGTCTTTCGATGTTGGCCTGACCGTCCCCCCCACAGCTTCGTGTCTTTTATAGGGAGGGTTTGTTTCTGGGCAATAGAAAAGGTCAGCTGATTTGGAATAAAACGAAAAACCAGGTGCCCAGGCGATGATCACTTCAGACAGACATTTAGTTACCCGTAAAGATTGAATAGCTAAAAAATCAGCCCACTGGGACTTCTCATCCCTATTTTGAAGGAAAGCTCAAGCTCTCCATAGTGTTTGAGTTTTTAAATACTTGGTATTCTATTTTGATTCATAGGTATGTTAATTTCGGGGCAAAAAATACTTTGTCCTATATTGGCAGCTGGAACATAAGAAAATAAGGTTTTTGTTGAAGACACACCGTACCTAAAGCAAAAATTGATTCCACGACTGGAAGTCTGTTAAAATACTTGCAAATTTAATGCATGTATTGTTGACCAGATGGCAGCTGATGAGTTCACCGAGTCGGGAAAATAAAACGTTCTGTGCATTTCTGAGCAGACATCCACGGTGCGTATTAACGATGCCCCATCAAATTGTGAGGAAATATTTGCAACTCAACAGCCGCCTGCTCAACACTCTGCTCTGTGATGAGAAGAATAGGGTAGAAGAATAGGGTAGCCGGCTAAAATTTACACGTACCAGGCCTACCATGTGGTATCTGTCACAGAGACATAGTATGACCAGTCACTCGTCACCCTTATAACTAACGACTTTAATCCTAATATTACTGTTCTGTTACTTATCAGGTCCTGAAGTATGATCGTGAATATTTTTGAATAGCCACTTGACTCTTCAAAGGTGGTCAGTATTCCTGAAGCATTCAATGCAACCACTAGATCGAAAAATGTATTAGCAGGATCATGAACATCCAAAGAATGAAACCCAGACGCTAAATATACTAGGAAAACTGACTAGAAATTACCACAGATAATGTAGGTTACTTGTTTATTTGCTGTTTAAGATAAACGTTGCCTTGTTTTGTTTGTTAGAAACACGTCGTAGCTGAATACGGCTTTTTCTGGGCCTTCACATTTCATTTAGAAACTGATTAGCTTGTGTAATTTATCATTACTGTATTGCAATAATGCCATCAAAGAAAGGCATTTAACTGTTAACAAGAATGCTTCCCGCCCGTGGGACTAGTCTCCACAAGTATTTGAGGTTTCATTATGACTAATTCGTAATTTCTTTCCTTTGGTACGAAACATCAGGTGAAGTTACCAAGGTCATATACACGCAACGAATTTTGAGCTATCATCTCAGTCTACATAAGCTCCTTCTTTCTCTTCAGTTTTCTTCAACATCACAAAGAAGGAATGCTTCGGACACTAGCAGAGAAAGATAATGATAAAGACTCATTTCTCTGAACCTGCTTGCCAGATGACGAAAAATTGCGCGTAAAGCATTATTAAACTAGAATATTCCCGGAAAGCAAAAAGCTGAGTGCAATATATCGTGAAAATATAACCTATATTACAACCTTTTAAACTAAAAAACAACTGTGGTTTCCTCCTTTGAGGCAATTATAGCAATACAAAACGCAAAATTAGCTCACACTCGATCTAGCTGTCTTTCAAAATGGGAAACCACCGAAGTTATAAGCCTACATTTTGCGTTGTTTAATTCAGCGTCATAGAAAGCTGGATTAGATGTGTTCCATTGTCAAAACCCACAAGATAAGCAGCGCATCTGATTTAGGTTCTCGATGTCGGCTAGACCTGTAGCGTACATTTACTGGAAGGCACCACTAGTTGATTAAATTTGCTCAAATTGTCATAAAACCAGTCTTTCCATCCGTTGGCTTAAAAGGATTCATTTCCGGTGGATGAGTGAAAAAGTCCCTACATTTCTTTCTTCTTTTTCTACAGATATGTACTGGTCAACATTGAGACTGTCCCGCTTGGGACACATGCCTTTGATTTTATACGGTTCTATGTTGTGAAGGCAATTGGTAAGTCCTAATATTGAATACTCTTCAGAGAATGCCCGCGCCATGCTGCTAATGAAAGCAAAGAATTTGAAGGACGTAGGGTAAATAGCATTTGATGATTATATTTCCATGGAATTTTCAAAGCAATATGTATTCGATTGGTGTTTTGAATAACCGGTTACACATTGTACCTTTGCAGTTTGTTGTAACTCCACTTTGGAAAAATCTGTTGAGCAGCACAGTAGTAATAATTAATGAATAATGGTCTCGATGGATGTGGCAAGAAATGTTAGTTTGTTCCTTATATTGTTCATATATGCGCCTTATTGGTTGGATGCAAATATACAGCATTGTTTATTGCATAGAAGACAGTCTGAGCCTATGTTACCAAGGCAACCATGGAAGTAACCAGCTGTGCTTTCCAAAAATGGAAGATTGGAACGTTAATTCACGGTTAGCCTTCTGGGGTGGAAGACTGGATCCATTCGTCTGCCTGTCAATCTATACTGAGTGATTTTTTTGTTTGACTGAGGCTGACTGTCTTATACAATTTCCAGAAATGTCACCAATGAAGCTAGCAGTGTACAAAAAAACTGACTTATGAAAATAAAAATTAATGACCTATCAGAAATTTATAAAATGTTCCTCACTACCCCTGCCAAGAAATACCGAATGTTTTCGGTATGGGGACTGAAGAAAACCTACTGTTGGTAACGTCCTTGCTTTTTTATTCTTTTTACTATGGTTAGGTGAAGTTGCAACTGTCAGATGTCCGGTAAAGAAAAACATGAATAACTGTACTGCTAAATAGAATCGGCCGATTCTTCCAAATTGCACATGTCTGTTGGTTGTGTCGTAGCGAACTTGTAATAATCACAAGTCTGCGGAAAAATTATTTATCGCCAAAACGCTAGGTCTCGCGCGAATTTCTGTTATTTAAGAAATTAAGAACCGGAATGTCCTGGTGCAAACATTGTTCTACTAATTTAAGCTGATCACACCGGTTCAACGATGCTGGTGTAAATACAAAACACGATGCTTGATCGGGAGCTCTGCCTAATGAACAGGTATTCCAGGCAACTTATATGGGTAGTAGTCAAGGTTGTGGCTCTTGAGCTGTCTAGTGTTGATGAATGTGATTAGATTTATATACCTGCACACCGCTTTAATACGTCTCTATATAGTTTGATTACAAGGTGCACGTAGGTGTGAGGTCGGTCAGTTACACTGAAGTCGCTATTCTTAGAGTCAAAGTATCCTGAAGAATTTCGGTCGGCCCATACATAGGCGTGAAGCGCTGCATCTCGTACGTTTAGTTGAGAGCTTTGGGAAAACTGGATCACCAACATGATCTTGCTGTCAACCAAGAATGTGCTTTCGAATCCAGCTGCTGCAGGTCACCGTGAAAATACACTCAAACCGCAGCGCCAACAGCAGTCCACAGCTCCGTTGGACAGATATGTCCGTAGAAAAGTATATTCTCAGTATCCATAAACACAGTCAGAAACTCATACTTTCTTTTTTTCTTCTTTTCATTTTTTTCTCAATTAGGAAAGTTCATGTAAGTCAAATAAGAAAGTAATTTTATTCCGACTGCCGATTTTGATTCTGTACACATTGCTTTCTCTGCCTATACTTCTGGCGTTCTATTCTTCCTAAAACATCCTACCAATACTGAAATATTAAACCATGTAGATGTTGGTGCTTCAGAATAATGAGGTATATTCAGTTTGCTTACTGTAAATGTTAAATAAATCGAATGAACGAAAAACCCCATCACTATGCGTTTGCAAAAAAATATGACAGCAAGCAGAACCTAAAGCACTATCGTGTGCGCAAAAGAGTGAAAATCAAGTGCATTTGAAAAACAGTAAATTTCTGATTGGCAGCGTTGTAGTAGTGCAAAACGTAATGATGAAATTTACAGCGAGTGACTACAACAGTTGTAGGAACAAAGATTGAGGAATAACGTTTCAGATATGCACCATCTAAAGGTCGTTGGGTTGTGTACACACTGCCAGTAAAAACATAGATTGTTCGTACTAGAACCTAAAGTTTTCGCACGGTGTCCCACCGAAGTTCTTTAGATAACCTACTAGAAATCCAAAAGTCTTCCATTAGTAACATACTTCTCAAACTAAGTTAACTGACATCAATCCTTAACGGCTTCTTATGAAAACACCAATGTTCTCATTAAGTCACTTAAGCAATTTTATCGAGATAGAATTTAGAAAAAACTGAGCGATGAGTATTATCAATAAAAATGCACCAAAAGAACGCACCCTACCAAAATTGATCAGCCAGTTTCCGTAAGTGCGTTTGAATTTAGTTTGTTCAATTAGCCGGACTTTCTTCCCGATCTGGGGTCCAGAACTTGTTCTCGAGACAAGGATCACTTATCCAAAGGGTCTGTCAAAATCTTGGTAATGCTGCATCTGTTGAGAATAAAATTGGTCAACACATTAACTGATGGCATTTCGTCGGAAAAAAGCAGATACCCATGAAGTAACTACGAATCGTACAGATGTTGTAGGCTTGAGGCGAGAAAACTGGATAGAATTATTACTTATCCGCGAAATCTCAACCAAATGAAGAGCAGTTGGAATCCGATTCATGAAGGAATGCACACGATGCCCGATTTATCTCACAGATACGTGCAACGCACGGGCAATAATTGTTTCACTGAGAATTCCCTGGACAGTATTTGGTGCCGACTCCTCACAAAGCAACATCCGAGGGCGCAAATCCAGATAGGATTAGTGACTACGAATGTGATACCTTAAGCCGAAAGACTGCATATCTCATGAGGAATTTTTACGTATAAAACTGCGAATTCCATAAATATCGATTACTGATTGTGAGTTGACTGTAGAAATGGTCCAAGTAAACAATCGTTCCAGCTTTGTGGTGCGAATACTCTCCGATAAAAAGCCATTATTTCGGAAGTAGCAAACCTGTGAACCTTCAGCAGACTATTTCTCAATTTGTTACGTACACTCACTTACTGACTGCTGAAATCATACACAATTTTTCTTGTTTGCATCAGCGCGATATCATGTTATCACGGTGGCCGCCATTCCTCGTTTTTAAAAAATAAGCTTACACTAATTTGTCGTATCATGTTCTTTCTTTCATTATTGTTTATTACCCATATCTGAGAAAGAGATGAAAATATACTTATCCCTTTTCTGTGTTTTAAATAATGCATCGTTATAAATGTGTGTCCAACTTAGCACTCGAAATTTGATGTTTTCGGTAAGCCTCCAGACATTCTAAGTAGTACTTCAAAAGGTGAAAACTAGCTAACGAAACTTTTGGCCGTTCACGTAGTCTCTGCTTTACTGATTGTAGGATCTGTTGCTTCATTTTCTAAAAATAATTCAATGACTTTGCTGATACAGTATGTTAGTCCTTATCAGTGGTCGTAGAATGCGGCATGGACAACATGGGCAGTGGCAGAGGGCAACTTAACAATTATTTCTGAGCAAACGATCATCTGGAGTCATGCAGTATGCAAAATGCATACTGCGGAAGGATTCACCCGAGTTAAGCTGTTGAGAATAGTCAGCCTGAATTTCGAACGAACAGTTCGCGCTTGCTCGTTCAGTCAAAATATTTTATCCTGTTTCAGCAATCCATAGCATAATCTAATGAAGACGAAAAACTCCCTAAGAGTATGTCAGACTAAAGTTGTGAGGTACTCGAATTTGTTGGCGCTTGCCCTTTTTTTGTCTGCTTGCTAGAGTGATTGCATATGAAGATTTAAGGGGGTGTAGGCATTTAAATTTTATGCAATTTGTTAGGCCAAGCCACTTTTACAAATACATCCTCATCAACTTAATTTTTGAGGATTTGAACAAAATTTTACGGTATTATTCTTCGTCAGTGAGCATATGGATTTTTTCGACAATCTCATTGACCCAAAGTATGTCTCCGGATACGAAGAGAGAGCCAATGTTTTTCAGACACACGCTTGTTGAGCCAGAAATGTAAAAACGAACTCATTTGGTTGCGGTAAACGTGCACAAACTTCTACGAATAATTCGATCATGTAATCGGGCCTTTTGGTGGGCGAATAAACACGCGCATTGTAAACAAACAAACATTTGTCTACTAGCATTTAGGCATTTCTACCACCCCCTTGAAATAGAAAAATTGTCTGTGATAATAACCTTATGCGATGTTTTAATTTGTTGCTGCAGTTTTACAACTAGGTGGTTAGAAACTAGGCCATACATACCTCAGGAATGAAATTGTATGAAATACCTCAAGAAACTTTATGTCACAGCTTTGTTTTTACCCAGTGTCCAAAAGGAAGAACTTTAACGCCGGCTCTCATGCCAAAAACAATGTTGGGCTTTCGTTTGGATGTACGCTTGGTTTAAGCTGGAGATCGTTTCCGGGGGGTTTGACAGGTAGTGCAAAAAGAAGCATGGTTTGCATCGCCAGCTGAGCGTGGGACCTTTTCTTTTTGTTATACCAGGCATTCACCGACAAAGATTTAGAATATGCACGAATTGCTTTCGCATCCTGAAATGAATGAAACAAACTTTCAACGATCCACAACGAAAATTGATTAATTATTTTCTCTGCTATCCATAAGATTGAAACACGAGCTTAAAGGACCGTGTGCTTACATTACGAGGGGGATTGGAGGGAAAGTCCAGTTCACCAGTTGATCTTAACTTAGCCCTTTCAGGGCTACAACACTGTACCCGTATGGAAGCGAGTGCTACCCAAATGCACAAACCTTCAACCCTTTGGAAGAAAACTCTATCCACCATTTTGGAATCAAGAACTTCCAGATATTACTTGGCCATCAAACTAGTAGCAACCTATGAAGGAGAAAAGCATTTTTCGCAGTTTTGCAAGTATTCTATCTGCGAACTAGTTCCTCGCGCAGCAAGTAGAATCAGTCACCTGATGTGAATTGTGCGTTAGTTAGTCACACGCCCTATTGCTCACAGGGAAATCGTACAAGTTTTGTTTACTAATCAGGATCTTTGCACTTTGAATAACCT